TGGTGAAGGTGGTGAAGGCCCGGTGGTGCCAAGCCAAAACTAGCCAAGAGTGGTGCGGGTGCTGAAGGTGGTGAAGGCCCGGTGGCGCCAAACCAAAACTACCCAAGAGACGGAAAACCTCTCGGGATATCACTGGCGCCGCCCGAGGGGTCGGAGGATATATATATATATGTGTGTGTGTGTGTGCACGTGCGTGCATGGGCATGTAAAATGTACCACCAGTAATGACTGGTGACTTCGCTCCAAGCACTTGCAGGGACAGGGCTCTCTAATCCGAAACCTCTCCAACGAAGCTGCGATCATCCAGGTGTAGCTGCAAAGCGTTGTGACACGTTTTGTACCGAATCCTCGCTCTGCAATATGTTCCCTTTGGATGACGTGGCGCGAGGCCAAGCCGAGAACCCCAAGCATTGAGGATCTCTCAAGTTCAGTTGTGGCATGGAAGATTTAACACATTACAAATATGGCATTCGACGTGATTCCGTGTGTGTGTGCACTGGTACGGCCGTCGTGGATTTGCCTTGTGTAAACGGAGAGGTGGTCATGTAACATTGGCCTCGGTTTCCTGCCTGTGCTGATGCGGAGTGAGCTCGGCAGGCAACGGGGGTAATGAATGCACGCCGCCCCGCTGTGAGATATGTGAGATGCACAGCGGCAGCTGCGCACTGCAGAACACGTGGTACAGTCTGCAAACATCTTGCTGCCAACTGTTGACTTTTTCTCCAAGATCGTGCTATCAGGAAATACTCAGATGAATCAGGAGGTTGAAAACCTGGCAACAACAAATGCTAAGAATTTCCACCAACAAGCATCGTTCAGGGTTGCGTAGACAGCGCGTTCTGTTTCTCATCCATCACGCTAAAGCCGCTAAAGCCGAGGACCTGCGAGATAACATTGTCCGGATCGAGTCTGATTTTGCGCTGTTTCGCTTTTGACGGTGCAGGCCACGCGGCACATTGTCGGTTTGGGCATGCGGGGCAATTCGTTGAGTCATGGAAGTAACACATGAGATGTCATGGGTTCGAGAATCAGGCAAGTTTCGTCTTCATGTTTCAACATTTCCACAACCATAACCAGCCTATAAACAGGAGCCCTAAGAATTGAGAACAGTTTCCAGGGATCACCAGCATTTTGCACCTAAACCTGCTCCGATTCCCAAGGTTTGCTCTCAGTCTTTTGAGGTTGTGCATGGGGCTGGAAGTTACTACTTACGCATATTGCAGCACCTGTTGCGGAAGTGCTTGTAGTTTGTGAAGTTTTCGGGGGACATCGACTCGATCGAATGCCAGCGCATTTCGCAGTATGGCTCATGTTTTGAGCACATTCTGAATTGGCGTTGTGTCGATCGTCCGTAAGGCTCCACGGCCTGGTGGCTGGAACTTGGCCCGACAGGCCACTACGTCGATTATCCTTCCTCAAGAACATGCAGCATCGCGTGTCTCTTGTGGCACTGCCTACTCCTAGCACCATCTCGAAGAGAGTCATGATATAGCTCAACTAACGAATCTCGCACACTCGGCAACAGCCGCGAATCTTGCAGATTTGGTTTTGCGGTTGGATGACAGGCCCATAAACCATTGCTTGGGCCGGTCCCCATCTGCTGCACGGTTGTTGCATCCTTGGAATATTGAATTGAGGAGTGCAGGAGCTAAGCGTTACTTATGCCAAGCCGAGATGGAAGCGATTGTTGATGGAGCTCGAACCCAGTTAAGTTCCTTGTTATGGCTAGTTGAACCAGTGAGCGTCAGTGCAATGCCTTATGTCAGCAATACGCTTGAGTCACATGACGAAGGCCATTTAGTTTTGGCTCAAGCGACTGGTGTTCCCGCACACCATTTCTGTGATTGAAAACTTTCCCTTCGCTCGCCTTTGCTCGTCATGGCCGCGCCAGCTACCCCCGCTGATGCTTGGACCGTTGTTGAGGAATTTGCGGCAGCAAGGGAGTTGCGGGAGATCGATGGTGCCACACTCTTGGCGCCTGTGACAGCCGCTCTTGATGACGGGGAGGTGGAGGTTGTCGAGAACATCACCAGGGAGGAGATGCAAAAGACCGTGGCCCGCCTCTACCTGGGTGAAGATGAGGATACCGCGCAGGTGGACCAGGTAATGGGGTGGCCCGAGAGCACGGTCCCATCCCCGCCCTTTTCCGAGACGACCAAGTCCGTCCTGGACGACGAGCACTTCTGCCCGGGCTTGGGCAGGGCATCTACGAAGGCCGACCATCGGATACTCAAATGAGGCTGAGGGAAGTCTTCCACGTGTGGGGAGTCGAAGGTGATGCCGAAAAGTCGGCCGAAAGATCCCTGGATTCGTCAAGCTTGGGTGCTGAACAGCTTGGTGAGGCAGGCTTGCTTGGCTCGCAAATTGCATCGTGCCGTGGCAGGGACAGCTCTGCAGTTGTTTGGAAAAGAACCTGGAGAACCCTCGTGGGTCCAAGGAGTTGTTGTCCGTGGTTGGTAAGGCCATGCATTCAGTTCAGTTTTGTCGTCCTCTTGCATGTTTGTTTGACTGCCTCTACTCTACCGCGAGATCAGCATGTCTGAGGGCAAACGTGCCATCGCAATCACGTCGGAGGACGAGCTGCTCATGACTCTCAGTAGCTTGCTGATGCATTGGATGGACCAACGACATGAAAATCAGCCCGACTGTTTCTGCTACTGATGCGTCTCCTGACGGTGGCGGGGCTTGTTGCAGTACTGGATAGTGCTGGCTTGTCGGCACGGAGGCAGGCCAAGTGCCGGCTTCTGTGCTCCGCCGATGATCTCGGCGGCGGCAGTGAAGAAGGGGTGCTTGTTGAAGCCTTCGGCGGCATTCGAGGCTTGCGCAACGTCTGTGAGCTGCCGAACATCCTGCCGCAAGGGATCATCAAAGCGGAACGGACCACAGTTGCATAAAACTGGCCCGTCGTCACTGCCCTTACGTCTTGACCGTGGAAGACATCTGGAAAGGTATTTTTGACCAGGTGTTAGAATGGCGTCGATTGTCGCCCCGGTCTCGCAAAGTCATCCTGGGACGTGTTGGAGGTGTTTGAGAATGCAATCATGGATGAGCATGACTTTCGAAGCCAAAATGCAGTCTTTGGGTATCCGCCCATTGTTGCTGAAGCTGGTCAGGTCCTTCGTTGCCGGCGTCCTTGTTTGTGGTGGATCAAAGGTGTTGGCTGTTCATCAAAGGTTTGGACTTGAGCGTCAGTCCAGCGCAGAAGGCCTCAGGGATCCTAGGACCCATCGCCCAAGTTCATATTGACACTGAACGACCTAGGTTGGATTGGTTCTCTGTACTGGAGCTGCGAAGCTGGATAAAGTGGATGAAGCTTTCTTTTCTTTCTGTCAGCTGCAAGCACGTGCAAGCCCTCCAGCATCACCAGCCGGAATTCTTCAGTGTTCTGAAAAAGCCCTTGGACGATGGAAGGGTGATAGTTGGCGCCTGGCACCACACCACTACCAAGACTAAACCTTGGTTCGGACAAGTTCGGGGGCTCGCCGTCTCCTCGCTGATGAACAGCTTCGCATGTTGTATAGTGATCATCAATTCTGCTGCAGGGACCTCTTACCCATCTCAGCCGCGCTTCTTGCTGGCAACCTGCGCTTGCTCTTTGGCTGTTTGAAAAGTGAGTGGCATCTGGCTGATGGCCCATCGCGATGAGTCTCCAAGCGTGCTCGTGCTGATGCTTAGGCAGAAGCAAGTGTTGTGCAAACGGGCAAAGAGAGAACGCAAAGCTGAAAGAAAGTGACTAGGGGCGTTGATGTCCCAAGTCTTTGCGCTCAAGACAGAACCGCGGTGTCTTCAACATGTTTCACGGGTTTTGCAGTTTCTCAAAGATCATGGCAAGTCGTATCCACGAAATTTTACCGCGCTTGACTTCGAGGTCTCCGTTTCTATTGAACGTCTCTGGGCAGAGGGAGATCGCAAGAGCTGGGCAAGTGACGTGGTTAGTGGACTGGGGCATTTCATTCCGGCTGTGAAACCACATTTGATTGGAAGCTGGCGCTTGTACTCCGGCTACTCCGCTCAGTCCCGTTATCACTTATGCGTTGGCTCAACTGGCCTTTGATTCCGGCTGGACACAGCAGTGTTGCTCATTCAACGACCGAATGAGCGAGTTCTTTGCAGCCAAGTGCGGAGATTTCAACCTCAGTCGAGGCGCACTTGGTCGCTGCCGTTGACTAAGTCAGGGCAACGTGTTGGTGCCTCGGAATCAGCTAGTTCGTCTACTCTAGCTAGTCTACCTAGCTACTAGGTGGAATGCTTGGGGATGGTGGTGGGTCGGATTGGGCGATAGTGCATTGTAAGCAAGCGTGCAATTGCAAAACATCGGGCAAACCTGGTTCTCTGGTCTGCTCCTTTGCAGCACTCCTACGGGCACTCTTCAAAGCCCCCCACAAGCAGAACTCCCCATTTGCAGTGGAGTCCTCTTAGTGGGGACCTAGTGATGCGAGCGCCCTCAACCCTAAAACCCTAAAATCCTACAAAACCCTAAACCCTAAAACCCCCAAAGCCCTAAACCCTAAAACCCTCAAATCCTACAAAACCCTAAACCCTAAAACCCCCAAAGCCCTAAACCCTAAAACCCTAAAGTGCTACAAAACCCTAAAGCCTAAAACCCCCAAAGCCCTAAACGGTGTTTGGGTGTTGGACCCGAACCCCGACACCTCTTCTGGTTCCATTACGAGGTTACGGAGACTCGTCATCCATGGGCCTTCGTCCAGGGTTCGCCGAAGTGACCCATCGCGGCCTTGGAGATGCTGGGGTCCTTAGTCCTGACGGCCTTCCTCATTGAGAAGAACGACCAGGAGGAGAACTTTTCAATCATTCCCCTGCTTTCTGACAAGCAGGGGAACACTTTCTAGCTGATGGTCCTTCTTCACCGCAAGGGTTGCACCCTGTCTCCCTCACACATCAAGTTGTCGGACGAGCTCACGCACCCCGACTACCAGGGCCTCAATCCGGAATGCCGGCTCCGCGTCACTCGACTACTGAGCGGCTGTCACCTTCTACACTTAGTGCTGGAATCTGATTCCTTCTAGTTTGCGACACTCCCTCACCTATGGCCCGAGTTGTGCACGGTGAGGCCGAGAGTTCCCCCACTCGCTCGAACGAGACGCGGGACTTTTCTCGCCATGCACATCAATGCCACACCAATTCTTTTGGATTATTTCGGAGGGGCCCTTGGCTTTGGGAGCCTTTGGCCCCGAATCACTCGGGGGGACCCTCTCGGATTGCCACCTTCACATATCCGCACGAAGGGGAAAAAGGGGGACGTGCATGGCTATCCTTGGGTTCCGTTGCGCTCGTGTTCGCTGACATAGTTGCTTCAAAGGAATTTCATGGTTGTTCTGATTGCTTGTACTGCAATTCTACTGGTTTCCCTGTTGCCTCCAGGTTCCGCGAGTCCAGAGCACATGAGTCCGGCTGAACGTGAGCGTTTGCCGAGCAAATCGGCTTTAAGATGGGAGCACACTTGTCATCAGTTATCCTCGCTCAGTGCATGGAGAGTCTGGCATGAGTTTCTGCACCGTCGGACACACAAGTCACACACGGGCATGCTGGCATGCGGGCTGTACACAGGCAGACAAGCAGATAGTCTTACACCCAGACGGCCAGACAAACATGCACATGGGATTTAATTAGCGCGATTGGGTATCCATGGCCGTGAATGAACGGCTGCTGCCCCATGTGCTGATGGCCATGTGCTAGTCTGGACCCGGCCGGACAACGAATCATGAACAGGCTTCGTCGACATTACAAAACTATGCACCCCGCATCACTAAGCGTTCTGCTTTCCGGTTGCCAGAAATAGTCTCTGCCAAGCTGGTTGGCCATGCGCACATGCGAGAATTGTATGAGCGCGTGTTTTGCCATCTGTCTGCGGACAATGTGCACTCCAGCTGCATAAGGTCTCCAATTCTGTGTTGGAGTCACCTCAGTCTGGCTGCAGCAAACTAAATTTGGATTGCTGTTCGACCCTTGCCCAGCAGAGTGTGTGACACCATTTGCATAACAGCCAGGCAAGCAAGAAAGCAAGAAAAATAACATGCATGCACACCTACACACATGCAATGCACCTGAACGGAGTCCACGGGACGAACTTTGGTTTTCAGCGGCCGTGAAACGTCTCCCGAGTCCCTGTGTTCAGTGATGGGATGATTGTCCGAAGCATATGCAGCAGGCATGCGGCAATGCTGTGACCTGAGGCTGCAAGAGCAATTATGTGAGTGTCGCTTTGCCATTCCCCGCATGGGGGGCAATGCAGGAGATCGCGGAAGCAGAAACAGTGCGCACCTTTCTAAATGACTACTTGCCCCACCCCATCCGGCAGCAGTCCTACATTTCCGGATGCACTGCCCACCTGACGGTGATTGTGAGACGTTCATCTCCCGCTGCTTCGCTTCTGCTGCAGCCTTGGATCAAAGGATAGTAATTAAGGGAAGAGCGGAATAAAGACTAGGGTCATGAAAGGAGTTGACCAAAGAATGGACTAATGCAGTCGGCTGAAGGCAAGCAGGTTTAGCGAGGCGATGCTGAAGGCGTCGCCGCATCGCTGAACAGGCAAGGTGCGTGGTCCCGGAAAGACTTCTGCTCCTTGTGTGGTGGAGCATCCGAGTACTGAGTCAGCCCCACTGCGTGTCGTGGGAATTGTGAAGCTGATTCGGGAATGGTCAGTTATAATCCGTCTAGACAAGACATGGCTAGAAGAAGCTGAGATTTTCTGGCCAGGGAAACTTCTTACGGACCCAGTTCGCCGGTCCCGCAATCACTCGCCCCCTGTCGCTTCGGAGCCTGGGATGCACAGACGCTTCTTGCAGGCGAGAAATTCTGGCATGTTTGACAGCCGGCTGCTGAGGATCTCGAACTGCTTGTGCAGCTCTCTTTTTGCCGGTCTCAGAAACTCCGAGGTCCTCACATAGAGAGAGACGAGGCACCACATCCGCAAGCCACCAGCCTCGTGCTGAAGCGCCTTCCACCGCGGTGCTCGACGAGTGTTTTGTTGGAAGTGTTGGACATCATCGCTGCCAGGCGAGTAGTTGCCATGCTATGACTGCTTGTCCGTCAAATCTGCCGCCCACGCCAAGAGCGCCCAACAGTCCGAGTCCTCATGCCCAAGTGGCGTTCCGAGAGCACCCTGAGACTTGCAAGAGCAAGTCAAACGAGCAGCACACTTTGGCATCCTAGAACATGTGTATCGCTCTGGCGGGAACACGACTTCGAGCGGAGTCGACGCACGGGACTGTGCAGGGAACACGACTTGTTCTTGCTTCATCCTCCATCCCTGCATGTGGGTGAGTTTGTTCTTCCGTGGCACGGGCTTCTAATTCCCTCCTTGTGGATGCGGGTGGATGTGTTCTCGTTCGATTGTACTCTTTTGCCTACGTGGATTTGTCAACAGTGACGAGACTCGACCCAGTAAAAGAACTGCGGATCCCTGTGACTGTTGCACTGTTGAGCCGTCACGATAATATCAAGCTCCGAAAGCTGCAATAGCCCAAGCCACCTTGCCATTAAGATCCAAACACCACAACAAGTGCGAGGATTCCCGCGAAATCCGCCGACTCAGTGTACATCACTGTTGGCACTTCTGAGGCAGCATGCTAATGTCGAGGCCTAAGTCGGGGACACTCGCGCAGATTCCCACCTCACCTGGCCCTCCCCCAAGGCAATCCCCACTGATGCGGTGACGCGCAGCACGTACTGCGGTATGCAGCCTGTTTCGGCATCACAACGCATGCACGGGACCGCAGGAAAGAGGAGTCGCGGCACTGTAGGAGACGCCCATTATTGCATCTGATCTAGCAATGAATTCGATTTACTCTTTGGACGGGGCCGGCGCAGCCTGTGACGAGAATGTGAGTTATCTTTATCGAACAATGTGCGCCGCGTCGCAGCAGGAGCCAGGGAAGCAGCCCGCCTTGCCGGCAGGGGCATCTAATCCCTGTACACGGAATGCAGAACTCCAGAGAGTCTGGAAGATGTGCAGCAAGCAAAGCTGCGACAAGCCTCGTTTCGCAGGTACGATTACGTTCACCTGCCGCTGGACCACCGCACCAACAAAAACATGTCGATGGCTTTCGTGAACTTTGTTGACCACGAGGACACATCCACCTCATTTTTGAATCCACATGCTGTTAGCGATCATGACGCTCATGTTGCTGATGATCTTGGCGAGCGCTCAAAGCTGCACAGTGTCAGAGTGTGCGTGTGTGTGTGTGTGTGTCTGTGTGTGTGGCAAACTTGCAGGAGGCATGCGTCGCGTTTCGGCGTCTGTCGCGGCCGAACGATTTTCCGGATGCCTTCGCTCCGAGTACCAAAGCCGTCTGGGGCGCGATCCACGGTTTGGGGCCAAACTTGGCTCACTTCGTGACCCGTTATGGGCCTGCTGCGCTGGATCCACCATGCGCACCGCTGGTTTTTCTGAACTGTCGGTGTGTTCCACGAACGCAGACGTTATTGCGGAGCCTCGTCTGCAAGTTGATCTGAAGGTCGTGCCACTGGTATCCTTGCAGGGGGGAGGCCAAGCAACAATTTTGAAACTTGTCTGTTTCGTTTGAAGCTGCTCCTGCACAAGAGCTCTTTTGAAGCATCCAAGCTTCACGGTCGCAAGTCACAACTTGGCTTTGAGAATGCAGCAGCTTAGTGAAGCTCGAAGTTGCAGTAAAGTGAATCTGGTGGATGCGCCTTCCCTGGCCTCTGAGGGAATTCGTCACTACGGAGATGCTTGAAGCGGCGACGGCTTACCTTCAATCCCAAAATTCTACGGTCTCTCCTTTGGGTACTGTCAGTCGAGGCGGTTGATCAAAGAGATTATGCTAAACCCCTGTGGCCCTGCATTCGCTGAGAGAGGTGAAGCGCGGGCTTCGTCCGGAAGCGGCAGGTCGGAAATGGCCCGTCAGAGCATGAGTGCCCGGCCTAAGCAAGTTGTATGGCATCAACATCATGTTTTTCTTGGCTGCTTGAGCACTCAGCCGTGCAGGGTCGAATCTTTGATTCAACTTTGCTGCGCCTGAGGCCTTTCTGAGATTGCTGCGGAGCTCGCTGACATTCCAAGTTATTCACGAGACGGGCATGTGGTGTATCAGCTCTGAGCGTATGCGACCTGCCTTGGCGGTGCTGAATGTCCTTTCCGCTGAACAAGCCCTTGCCATCAGCGTGTGCAGCTCTGTGATGGCACTTGTCGTTCATACAGCGCACAGTACTTAGTTATGGGAAACTGAAAAGTGGCAACAGTTCTAGAAGAAAGGCTTTTTCGTTCCTGCAAGATGATTTAACAATGGCCATAACCACGGCCACAGCCATAGTACTCGCGGTCCCAAACAGGCACTGCATGATACAGGGCTGCCACACACCCCCTCCCCTTCCCACCCCATGGCCCCCTGCCCCGCCCCCCCTGTCCGGTGGGGGCCTGTGGTGGTACCCTTTCCTCTCACATCCCCGCCCCGCCCCTGTGGTTTCGTTGTTGTGGTGGGCTCTGCACCCCCTTCAGCTGGGGCTTTGGTTGGCCTGAATTGGAGTACGCAACACGTGCAACACAAGGACCTCTTATCACGATTAGTGACTCAACTATTGTTACGCGGAGCTTTAAGAGCACTTGTTCTGATCTTCTCCACCACCATTCATGTCTACAATTGCATCTACTATGGTATGGTAGTGCGGCCAGCATCCGCCGTTCTTGAAGTATTTATGTGTTACTCTTTCTCTTCCTTCTGGCTGTGGCACCTGTGATACTGCTCATGACGTGGTGCTGCTCTAGACGGCGACGTGAGTCCACAATCGGATCATCTTTGACATCATGCTCAACATCATCATTGTCGTCGTCATCTTCTTCACCAGTCAGTACCATCAAGATAATAGCTGCCACCATCACCATCGCCATACAACCCTCAGAATTAAGCATTGCAAGTCATGCCTGATGCCGAAAACTACTGCGCAGATTGCCGCTTTCCGCACAGGGCAGGGGTGGGGGTACCATAGGGGCAGGGGTGGGGCCACACCCCCAAGCAGGGGCAGGGTGGGGGGGGATACCATTGGGGGGGGAGGGGGAGGCGTCCGGGACCCGAGAGCATACATCCAGAGAGTAGGTATTTGGGTATCGAAGTCAGGCTTCGTCGGATACTGAATTTTCTACAATGCAGCCTTGATCCGGCGAAAGTTAAGCGTGCACAAGCACATAAATCACATAAATACCAGCGATCGATCGACCAGAGGCCCGATCACACCGCAGCGGCGGCGGCGCGGTGGTGGGGTGGCGGGCGGGGGTGGGTGGTATGGGTGGGGGTACAATGTAGCGGCGGCGGCGGCGGCAGTGGTGGTGGGGTGCAGCGCTTCGTTGGTTTCACTGTTTGTGGATGTGGTCGTCGTGGAAGTTGCCATGGTTCGGCCGCCTCTGTCGATTTGAGTGAGTGGTCCAAGCTATACAGCAACAAGCATATGCCAGCTTGTGAGTTTGGCTATTCGTCTCTTCTACCTAATTACGACTTTCCAGCTCGCCGGTCCTTCACCGATATCATGAAGCTCTCACAATAAACGACGAAAATATCTCAGCTGAGGTTCGTCGAACTTGGAGCCCAGATCCAGATTGGATGGGGGCCAAGATGTGAGGATCTCTATGAATGTTCGAAGTCTGAGAGGGGTCTGCCCAGCCTGTTCCGAAACTTTCCGATGTTCAAACGGCAGTGCTAGAGGGCTCAGCAAAATCGTCCTCAGTCTCATGACCCTTTTGGGTCCTCGCATTTTGTCACAGAGCTGGAAGTGAATCGACCTGGCTCTTCCTTTACCACTTCGTGAGTGAGATTCTGGTTGCACCGACTGACTTGGTCGACTCGGGCCGTCGCACCATTGAGCAAAATCTTGTTCTATGCAAGTAACCACAGGAGTTGAATCCTCGCTCATGAACCGGCTTGGAGGCCGGCATTTTTACATGTTTTCTAAATTAAAATATTCTCGAATTTGGCATGGCTGAGATGTTAAAGCCATGCCCAGCGGCTTGAAGAGCATCGTTGAGGCACCTGATTTGCTCCAGCCAGAGCTTGACCTGCACCGCATGGCAGTCGCATTTTGGACAACCCGCTCGTGCGACGGGAGGCGCATGGCCACGAACAAAAGCGAACCCTGCATTCTCCGAAGGTCTGCCTAGTGACCTAGTGGCCCGGGGTATCCGGAGCCAGGCAGCTTACACTGGTTTTGTACGGCCTCTTCGTGTGCGATTGTGCTATCGCAGAGCTGTTGTGCTCAAGATCACTCCGAGCCAGCTACCATCGCTTCGTCGACTCGGTTTGTGGTTTTCCCAGATGTGCATGTGACATCACGTGACTAAGACCTGTCTTCTGACCATGCATGACATTGCGTGAGGAAATGGTGCTTACAGTGCTTGGCCGCGCAGCAGGCTAGTCCGAAGAACGTCTATGTGGACTTACAGTGATCTTATCCTTGTTCGGGCGCATTGCACAAGCACTTTCTTTCCTCTCCAGCTCGCTGTGGAGTGCTTGGACGCATCGGGCAACCGGCCCGCCCTGCCACGTTTCAAGCTGTGAGCCACGGCCGCACATGCGTCGGCTCGGTAAGTTGGGATTTAGGGATCATCCGTGGCCATCTTGGCCGGAGCAATCGCCTCCAGACGCTTTAGCTGGTTCAGTCAGGGCCTGGAACTTGAGTGATCGAATGTGTTAATTGACACTGTTGATCTCGAACAGTTGTTGTTTGTATCAAGTTGTGCTTGTTAAATTATGCGTTGTGGCTGGCTGTTTTTTTATTTTTTTTCCGTCTGTCTGTCTCGGTTTTGTCTTGTCATTTATCTTTCAGCTTGCCTTTTTTCTCGTCCCTCTGGCGGTGTCGTTGGTTCGCTCTGCTCTCTCTTGTGCTAGCCTTCCCCGCAGCCGGCATTGGGTCCGAGAGTGGGCTGAGTCCGAAGTGTGCCAGGCACGTGTCGCACAGGCAGCTTCGCGCTCTTCCCTAAGCCTCACGGCCAGGAGATGTCATCAAGTCGCTGTCTTCTTTCATCTTCTCCTGTGTCTTCTGGTGTTTCTTTGGCGATCTCTCTCTCTCTCTCTCTCTCTCTCTCTCTCTCTTTCTGTTCCGCGCCGCCACGCACAAGAGAGAAAGCTCATAGAAAGGAGCCTCAGTACATCTCGGCAGCTTCTGGGTGACTACGACTGGAACCTGGGCGTGTCGAAGCCTTGGAGCAAGGCTGTGGGTAAGTTCGCAGATCGAGTTTGCACGTGATGCTGAGGCCAGGCAGCCGCCTCCGCAACCCAGACCCTCAAGGTGGCGGCCGCTAGTATGCTTTGCTGGCAAACTGAAACTCAAGAGTTTAGCGATGCTGTACAGCCTACAACGATGTGGCGCCTCCGATGGGCTTCGGATGGTGGGCTTTGATCGTATCATCTGCCGGGGCCCAGAGCAGAACTGCACGTCTCACGAAGGCTGTGTTGCATCAGGGCACTTCGGCGCATCGTAAAGTGCACCCAGGTGTCTTGCTTCTTCTGGGGCAACACGTGTCGAGCTTAATTTCTGTCGGCGGCGGCAAAAGCGCACCCCGTTTCTGCTTCTCGTATCACGACACAGGTACGATCATTCTCGTGGGATCACTGTTGCCACTGGCATCTTTGGTCCCCTCCTTATGCATGCAGCCTGTTTTACACTCCTGCTTGAAGCGAGATGATGCCATTGACATGGGAATTGGTGACACGTGTTGCCCTTGAATCTGTGCCCGATCGATGGAGGGAGTCGCAGTGCCGTCAGGTCCCAACATGCCCATCTGAGCTGGGCTCATGTCACGGCAGCGATACAGTGTTGCTTCCCCGGTATCTTGCCATGCGTGCTCATTTTTGGCATCTTGATGCTTGAGTTAAAGTGCGGGGGGAGTGACACCGCCTGTCTTCCACAAGAGATGCTGAAGCTTGTCACCTGGACTCGATATATGGTTGCTTGTGACACCGTGTATCGATCAATCGAAGTGAAGTCGTCAGGCTGATGTCAACCTTGTCCTTGTCCCAGCTTTCTTTTTAGAAGGACGCACGCGTGTGTGTGTGGAGAGGGCGAAGTGACGAAAACCCTGCGCCTCTAGCAGTCGTCAGATAAGCCGCTTGGGCGACTCATGTCAACTTCTTGGCTTGCACTGCTAAGTTGCGCAGGTGGTCCAAGCAGCAGTTCGGCAAGACGGTCATGCGTTGCCCGGATCCAAGGAGTTCAAGATGCGGACTTCCTGTTCATGGAGTCACGACTCCGAGGCAATACGCAAGCACAGAGCTGCGGGATGACAGAGATGTTGTCCTTGAAGCAGTTCGCCAGGACTCCTGGGCTGAATTGAATCTTCTACGCCACCACCCGACGCCACGACCGGCACCACCACTACAACCCCTACTGCCGTTGCGAATGCCATTAGTACCTCCACGCTTCTGCTGTAATAGACTTTGTGCGTGTTTGTGGATGTGAAATCCGTGTCAACTCGAACCATGTTTCCATATCCCCGATTGTCGGCAGTCGGCTTTAGCTCAGCCGAGAACAACTAGGACGGGGACGAGGCCCGAATTTAAGCCACGTTAAGACTCCAACAGCTACTGTGCAGCTAAGCCCAGCAGGTGCAGGCAGGTGCAGGCAGGTGCACAGTGCTCACTCGGCGCTCAAAGGCCCAACTTCTCAGCTGCATGGCTCGAACTGCCCTGAAATCGACTGTGCTTCGGATGTCCGGACTGCATGGAATGACGCTCATGTCGTCTAGCACGCATGCAAGGAAACTTCCAAGGCCTCGGCGGATCTCGCCCAGCCAAAGTGGCCCCAAGTGATGTACCTTTCGGCCGAAAGACTTTGCTAACTACACCATGATATGACTCTTGACCATAACATGGTGCTCGTGTCCAAAACGTCGAGTTAGGGCTGGTGCCGCCGTGGATTGCCAGGATGGCCATGCCTTGGTCTTTGCATCGCCTGCAATGAAGGAGCTAGCAGAAGTGTGGCAAGCTGTTTCGGTTGATCGTGCAACTTGCCAGGCACGGAAGGATGTTGTTGTGGAAGCGGTTCGACAGGACAATGCAAGTTGCAGTCCAGAGATGTGTTGAGACTAGACATCACAAATGCAGAAGCCACGACGGAGAAGAGCCAGTTCTGCGTGGATGCACAGGATGGCCATGCCATGGTCTTTGCAGATCCTGCTCTCAGGGCAACTTGGCCTACAATGGTCTGCTTGGCCATGGGTATGTCAAGAGTTTCATGCTCCCAATCCTCAGGCCGACAAGGACGTTGTTCTGGAGGCTGTCCAGCAGGCCCCTGAACACTCGATAACTCTGAAATCGGAGCGGTCTGAGGCGTGTTGGGCGCAGGATGGGTACACGCTCAGTTATGCATCCATGGAGCTGAGAGCTGATCGCGAAGTCGTGACCCAGGCGCCTTGTCGCTTCTCGCATTGAAAGGCCCACGCATGCCTTGGCCCAGGGATGTTTTGTCAACTGCCGTAGGCCGTTGGGAGCACTGGCTATGCCTTGCTTTTTGCACACGACAAGTATCGGAACGACAAGGTCGCCAAGCAGCGCCTCGCATGTTGCCATGTGTGTTGTCGGTCTTGTTCGGTGGATTTACGTTTCCAGGCTGTGGTTTTTGAAGCTGTCCAGAGCAACTGGCAAGCTCTGGGCTATGCTTCAACTGAGCTGAGGCTCGTGAGACTCTGGGTCTTGGGATGCCAACACCGGATGTTGACTCTAGCAGACGCATACTGGCATCCGCTCCAGCGCAGGAAGGACAAGGAGATCGTGCTTGCAGCAGTTGCCACAAACAGGCCAACACTGGAATGCACTTAAGGTCGTCAACGTCCCGCCTGGCGTTCGGAGGCATGCGCTGGCCATGATCAGCGAGGAGCTTTTGCGAGATCCCGATGTCGTGAAAGAGGCAGCGACCGCGAGATCGCAAGAGCGGTGTCTGAGCCACGTTCGGCGGCTTTTGGGGCGTCTGAGGCTCTGAGAGCAGATGGCCACGCGCTGGTCTACCTCAGCGAGGCGCAGCGCGCGCAGAAGGCGCGGGCGGGGCCTCGTCGCGGCCTCGGCCATGTCACGTCGACGCCTCCGATTCGAAGGACGTGGTCACAGCAGCCGTCAAACAGGAGACGTGCCCGTGCTGGCCATTGCGTCACTAGTCCGAGCCGCTGCCACATTGCTGCAGCTGATGCGCTGTCTGATGTCAGGACGGACATGCTGTGTCGTATGCATCAGATGCGCGAGGATCCTACATGAGCTTTCAATTGCTACTTCTGTCTTCGGGCACACGAGCATGCCAAGGATGCAGCGAGACACAGACATTGCGCTACAGGCACAGTCGTAAGGTCCCGAAAATGCCGTAGTCTACTCGCCGAGCTTCCATACACCACAGGCCGTTGCTGAGGATGGCATCACTCTGGGTTTGCTGCCCGACGAGGCTTGCAAGGAGGGGCTGAAGGATTCGGAGGATATTGATGCCCTGAAGGTCCGTGCCAACAAAATGGTTGCACTTCGTGCGGTGGAGAGCAATGTCAAGGCTGGCAGCCTGCCACCCACTACACCCCACTCTCCAACCTGCACACAAGTTTGATCTGGCAGGCCTTCCAAAACGTGGCCGAGGTCCTGTGGCTGCGTAAGCAACCACATCCACCAGGGTAGACCCAAGGATTATACCAGAGATCCTCACAGCCATCACAGCACGATATGCGGCATTGCACCATCAATGAACAATGAGCAGCAGCGATTGTGGAAGTTGGAAGTCGGTCCATTTGGGGTCATGGTCTTTGGTTGCTGAGCTTCTCGCCGATTGGTCTCCCTATGCTTATAGTCGTAACGGGCATCATTTCTTCTTGCCTTTGGGCCTCTAGCACACTGCCCTTGTTGCACCTGGTGCTGTGGAGCTGATCGACAGCTTTGCCCCGGCACACTTTGTACAGCATGCCCGACGTGTTGACTTGTTAGTTCACTTTGCAACTTCAAGCTGCCTTACAGGCCTGTGAGCCTATGGATTTGCTTTCGATTCTCTCTGCATGTGGTGCATTTCTTTTGCAAGCGAGCCTGAGGATCTGAAGGGCGATCCCGACGTCAGGGAGGCGGCGCTCGCTTCTGAGCGCTACGCCTTGCTCAATGCAGTGAAGGCAGGGAAGGAGTCGGTCAGATCAGATGTTGAGAAGGGGAAAACCCCACACAATCGCCGCTAGCAGGACTGAAGTAGAGGTGGCTAGGCAGAAGCTCGTGTGACGAAGCGTTTGACGAGTGAGCAGCAGGCGAGACAGCACTTCTCATCCTAAGCAGAACTCAGGGAAAACGGCTAGCTGCGATCCCCGCACGAGCTACTAGTTTAGTCGAAAGAGTCTATAGGGCAAGTTAGCCCCGTTCACGGTGTGCGCGGGTCTTGTTCTGACAAGTGTGAGGGGCTGAGGCTCGTCAGTGCTAGAATGTGCAGTGCAGGGGGAGTTGCCGGAAGGTCGATGGTTACGCACTTCGATCAGCTTCACAGCACATGAGAGCGGATCGGGCAAGGGCCCGAGCATTTAAATAACTTGGCTGCTTGTGGATTTTGCTGTCCGATGGCTGTCGCCAGGAGATTGTCCTGGCCGCAGTGAAACAGAATGGCAAGGACTGCGATCAAGAAGTAGCATGCCGCCCTTGCAGACCCAGGGTGTGTTTTCGCTGTCCCGATCATGCGCCCGCACAGGTCCTCGTTTTTGCACCGGAAGAGCTTCGCAAAGACAGAGAGGTGGACAATCTGTATTCACGCTGCGCTACGGATAACAGAGCGATCACAAAAGCTGGCAGCAAGTCGTGTTCAGTCGTCAGCATATGGTCTTAGCAGCAGGTGGTTCTGACAGCTGTGCGGCAAAATGGCAAGGAGTGGCCGAGACGTTAGCAGCGCTCGTTGGAAAGAGATTCGAGCATCGGCTTGTGGGTGCCTTCACGAGCTCGAATGCAGGCCCTTGTGTTTGCGCATGACTGCCTGAAGAGCGATAAGGAGGCATGCAAAGCAGCGGCATTGCCAACCTTTCTTGACGTGCAGCAAAATTGTCAGGTGGTAATGGAAGCGGTTGCTGAAGGCGGCCACGTTGCGCCGCGACCCTCGGTGGATCTGCGTCTTGGGTCACTCCTGCTTCCAGACCTTCAGTGTACGTGCTCCTTGATCGAGAAAGGCTGTGGCACGCGTCAGAGGAGCTGCAGAAGGAACTCCGTGCAAACCTCTCCTGCTGCACTTGTACTGAAAGGTTGCAGAACAGTGATGCATCTCTGCAGGACAAAGAGATTCTGCTGGCTGTGAAGTGAGTTGTTTGCGAACAGCTCATGTACCAGTACCATGTACGGTACAGGTACAGATATATGCAAGCTATTGTCCGAACATCGCTGGATTCCAGGATAAGTAAAGGTGAAAGGGAATGAGCCATTCAAGTTTAACGTGTTGCTTGCTGCTCTCTTTCGTTCTTTCGGAGTTGGCGGTTGTAGAAAATTGAGATCCCGACGCCGGCTTAGAGAGATGCTTGCCATCTGTGATCAAGATATCTTCGCTCGTTTTGCACCTGCGTGCATAGTGCAATGGTGGTGAATTGTATGATTCTGATGGATGCAATCTTGGACAGGCGGATGTGGCCAAGATGCGCAGCATGGACAGGCCAGATTCAATCAAGCAAACCTGCGATTTGCAAGCTAGCGAGCAAGCTCTGCTGAGGGAGACCTTTGGTGATGCCCGCCGACCTCCACGCCCTGGCGGCATGCGGAGAAATCGTGCCGGCAAGGGCAAGGCCAGGGCACCCGCAACGAGTTTGTGGAGTACATAGGGTCTCCACGCTTGATGATCCGTACAGTAGTGAGCAGTGTGGTCTGAGCATGTGCGGAAAGAAGAAGAAGACTGGGCTCGGTGCAGCGGTCATTGCATGTCTCGGACGGAGCGCACAAACAGCACTGCCATTCAATGAGCTTTCATGGCTTGAATTTCGAGGTGCAGGTCAAGCTTCATGTATGCCAATGTATGCCTTGCTTCAGGGCTTCCGCTCCTAGGAAGATGGACATTCTGGTGGCAGCCTCAGCCTCCTCAGCCTAATGCTTCACGTTCTGAGCTGCGACAGCACAAGCGAGGTATCTCCCATCTGTACACATATGGCCAGACACTTAGACGCCCGGCAACCCGCGCTGTCTTGTGAGCAAAATCCTTTCGGTGAGCTTTGCTTGCTGCAGGCTCGGAGGTAGACATGAAGGTGTGCGGTTTTGGCTGGACCCGCGCAGACCTGAAGTGTTTGTACGCGGAAAGAACCGGTTCTCAAAAAAGGCGAGTTGTCGAAAGCTCCACTGAACCAGTCACCCACGGCGATAGCCGGAACAGTTGAAGCCATGATGCAAGTTCTGGCTCCAGCGGGTTTCCGTCAGCCCATCATATCGTGAGTCCGGCAGAGTTGCGTTCGTGGCTCTTTAGAGGAACAGCTGCAGGCGCACTGATTTGAAGCAAAAGCTGATGCAGGGAGGCAGGGATGCAGAAAGATGCAATGGATCTCCATGCTAGCATGTGCTAGCGCAAGCATGGCGACGCAGTGACGGATTAAATTACAGAAAATTGTTTGAGAGCTCCGCTCCACGAGCTCAACGAAGTCGGCAGCTTGAGGCTTGACCCGTCCAGTTGCCGAGATCGACGAATGCCACAGAAAACATCCGTTCTGATCTGTGTGCAGTGCCGAAGCGAAGTGGCGAAGCGGCAAATGGGTGCATGATGGCCGCGGCCGCCGTGGTTCAGCCGCCTAGCCGTTAATGAAAACCTCAGCACCTGGGTGGGGCCTGGACAGCTGAATTGGAGGCATGCGTCGGCCTGAGTCCCTGATAAAACACGGATCGATCGTGGATGTTGCGTTTTGGCAGGCTGATGGCTGTGGACAGTCTCGACTCTGAGAAGGCCGCAGCACGCACAGTGAGACGGCCATGCAGGCAACTTGCGTTTCAGGCAGGAGAGCCCGACATAACCTCAGAGGACGTCAATGCCGGGACTTGATAGACCACGCACACTCGTCTGATGTCTACTCCGCTACAGGATGTGAGGGAGGCAGAGGAAACCGAAGAGCAGCTCAAGGCCGGCAGCGTGGTGTTCAAGGTACGAGTTTTCGTGACCCCGCATGGCAGGCAACGCTGGATGGTGCATGGCAACAGCTGGAGGCGATCTTCAACAGACTCACACACCATCCGGGCCAGCTGCGATGATTGCTTGTCATTTTCAGCAGATATGCAAGGGGACAGCTCGCGCGCCCAGCCATCCACGCTTCCTGGTGTGGAATGTGGAATGCTCAGACTTGAGTAGCATTTAGCGCTTCCAAGAGTGGGAGATGATGGGAGATGCTTTGCTGCTCCGCAGGGCTTCGGTCATGTAGCAAACTATCCGGATCTTCTCCGCATCGAGGCCCAAGAGTTGCATTGTGTCATCTGATACGTCGATGGGAAGGGATTGTCCAGTTGTATGCCGCCAATGCCGAAGGTGTGCCGGTCGGGGGATGAGAAGCCGGTGGAGCAGCCGGCGAGTCTGAACCGTTGCTGTGTGCTGCACGATGAAGAGCAGCTTAGCGCCAGGGGCTTCAAGACTACGATGGCGTGCAGATGGCCGCAATGTCGGAAGGTGCACCTGATCAGATTTGCTCATGAACTGCACGGAGAACTTCATGAGGCATTTCTGTGGCAGGTGCCTTGTGCCTAGCTGCACGAAGCACTGCAGCAGGGGGGTCCGGGCCATAGAATCTTGACTCCAGAAAAATCTAGTCAGCGCCGAGCGTGTGCCATTTCTTCAGAGGTCTCGCGTGTTGATACGCCCGACGCATCGCTGGGAGAAGGCCTTCGGCTCTTTGGCCTCAGAGCTTCCCGGCTCCAGGGCTACGAGCTATCGGTTTGTGACGGTAGGCGCTCTTCTCCGCACCGATCTCTGACGAGAACCCCGAAGCCCTTGCCTGCGGCGAGGATTTCGTGGCGGCGGGGGTCTTCAAAACCTGTGGTGAGAAGCAATAGTAGTGCGAGACAGAGCGCCAGGTCATCACTTCATCACGATTGCTCCGGCTGCACGCTTCCTAGTTTGTTTGATGGCTGAATCTCTTACTGCAGATAGTTCTACTGCTTGTGGGGGAGGAGACTTGAACGCACAGACTTGGTTCTAAGCTCTATGTAGAGCAGAGCTCTAGCGGTGGGGGGACTGGTTGGGCGGAGGATTGCTGCTCAGGCTCGAGGATGTGCCCGAAAATTCTACCACACAGCCAAGGGAAGCGAAGCAGCCAAAAATCGTGACAAGAATGGGGACTGGGCATCTGGTCGCGCGCGGTGCTTTTGGTGTGTTGGTGGCTTGCAAGCAGACACGACCCGAGTGTAGCAAGCCTACTGATCTTTGGTTGATGCTCTGGCTGGGGGAGGGAAACACGTCCGGCAATTCCTCAGAGACAGATTCTGCTCAGGGCTAAGAATCAGAACAAGAACCAGAGGGGCTGCCTGAAAGCCTTCGCGGAGGGGGCGGAGAGGGTAAGACAGGTAGCTGACAGAATGGCCCAACAACGCCCTGAGCGAGAGTGATGCTGCTCCTTCATGGACATGACATGACCTGTGGGGCTGTACGTACAAAGTGGCGAGGCTGTGGTTGTTCCTGCAATGTTTGATTTCCTGTGGCCTCGGTCTCTTGAACCATTGCAGAGAGGTCACCGAAAAATGCTGTTCATGGCGGAGCTTGGTTTACTTGCCATGATGCATGATGTCCCGGAGTTCGGAATATCTAGCGTATGTTTCACGTAACAGACATCCCTGAACCACTGGTGTGCCTCGTGCCGGGGAACGCCTTGCACGACTGGGAGCGGGTGGTGACGGTGGTGAGTGTGCCTGTGAGTGTCGCAACGAGGTTCAGCTTCAGTGGTCTTCCGTTGGGCATGCGCAGCTTGCGGCAGTCTCAGCTTCGAGTCAGCAAGGTTTGCATCTTCGGGACCTAAGACAGACATTGAGATCTCGTGCAGTAGTTCCTGGCAGCTCCACCGAGTCTTTGTTGAAGAAAGCGCTTCTAAAGGGAGCGGTCCAAAAAGAGAGAGTAGCTGACATCCGCTGACGCTGACGCAAAGAGAGCTCGGCGTGCCGAGGCCAGGCCCCGGCGTCGCCCTCGCAGCGCGAGGCAAACTGCTGCTGCTGGTCACCCGACCACCTGGGACGGACGAGGACGTCTTGGGAGGAATTGGGGCTTCCAGGCGCTTCGAGGTTTGAGCGCGCCATGGGAGCAGACCGCAGGACGAGGAACTGGATTTCCGATTGCTGGACGTGAAAACCAGGCTGACCCTGTCTGCATGCTGGCAAAGAATGCAGGGGCCTGTCGCGGACTGTCGCCAGGATGGAGAGGGCAGGTGGACTTTTGCCTCTAAGCGAAGGGGCTCGCCTGCGCTGGATCGGAATCTCCACGGATTTCGTCCCATTGACGCTTGGTGCTGCTGGCCTGTCGCTTCATACATAGCCCTGCCCCGAAAGCAGCAGGTGCGCGGTAATTTCGTGCAGTTGTTGCATCATGCCGCATGCTTTGCCTGCCAGACACTTCTGGGGTGCTGCGCGCGCTTCTCGGGATTGGTGCTGGCTCCTGGGGTGGGAATGGACTGAATGCGGAGTGGACGCCGGTCCTGTCCTTGGCAGATGAGGCGGGGCAGCCGGGGCTACTATACTGGTACCTAAAAGTGAGCATGCAGACGAGCACCCAAGCTGCCGGTACCTGAGAGTACGGGGGATGTGCTGTTTCCCCCACTTGCCATGCCTGATCTGTCAAAAAGGGGCAACCTACTTTCTGTGAGTCCGATGATGGTGATCAGTGATGATGACGACGATGATGATCATCATTGTCGATGAGTTTTAGCCCTAGATCCGATTCCGATATTCAGGGTCCTCCTCCTCCTCCTCCCCGTCATCCTGCCGATCCTCCCCATCCAGAGCAGACTTTAGAGATGCAGGGTAAAGTATGCGCTGTTGTCTTCATACACATGGAGGTGCCGCTGTGGGTGGTCGATGCGCCAGCTTGCAGCCTTTGTGTAGTGGAGCTCTTGGAGAACAGGGAGCCTTGGCCGAGACCTCAACAGGCACCGACGAAAGCTTTGCACGGGCGTGTCTTTGACCATCTTTGACCTGTAGCATTTCAGGGAGACTTGGCACCATGACCGTAGGCTGATGATGAAGACGAAAAGCCCTGTCTCATGCCCTTCTTCGGCGTGGGAGGACAGGGGTTCAGAGAACGGAGGGACGAGAGAGACAGGCGAGTCAGCGTGAGAGGAACCGTCGCTCCGCGCCGTCTGCCTTGGCGGATGACTATGGGATCCTTCCCTGCCGCCGGCGAGCAAATCGAGGCCGCATTCCGCGAGCAGCTGCTTCTCAGGCACTTCCAGGACCGAAGGGTGGCCAGGAGAGTCGTGAGTTGCCGTCGAAGATGCCCCCCTCCGTTCCTAGTCGCAGGACATGCTTAAGATGGATATGCTCAGCGAGCAGCAGCAACAGGAGGTTCCGTGAGAGACGAAGCCTTTAGGACGAGCACGCAGAAAGCGGCACGTCCGACCGCGGGTTTCACTGCGCAGGCTGATGCCTTGGAGAAGAGATGCAAGAGTCGGATGCTGAAGCTTTTTACGCAGCTCGCCAAATCCGACGAAGTGGAGCGCGAGGCACCCAGGCACTATAGGCACAGAGAAAGCCTGCACGACTGACATCAAGCGCAAAATCAAGAAGATTCTGCTGAGGAGCTCATCATGTCGCAGGGCTGGGCACCTGCTTTCTTTGTGTTTCCCTATCGGTCTCCTGGCCGCCGCTGCCTTGTGAGGAAATACCTCGCGAAGATGGAAGGCACGGCGAAGGCCCTGCACAGCGCCAGCTCGTCATGATCGAGAAGATAGCAACAAAAAGTGTCAAGCTTCGAGGTCCTGGAGATGGCTCGGACTCTTGCCGAGAAGGCCAAGCAACACAAGCTTGCGGATGAGATTGCGGCTTTGCTACGACCAGCGCGCTGTCCTTGGTGGGTCGTGTTTGCGAAGTGTGAAGCTGAGATCCATGTAAGGTCAGTGCCGAGGGTTGAGCTTCCCCCGCTTTTCAAGCCCGGAGAGTTCGAAGACGCAGGCTGTCACCGAACATGCAACACGAGTCAGTATGACCTGATCGGTTTTGTTGGTGTACCTTCTGATCCTTCTGCAACCTGCAACGTGCGGAAGGCCAGCAAGGCGCTGACAGGCCGCCTTTGCATGTTGCTATCATGATGCCGGGCTGTGGCGGTGCTGGCCAGGTCGGAGCAAATGCCTACAGGTAGCCGAAGTCCGGAAAGACTGCAGACAGGAGCTGGAGAGGGCGAGGCCGTGATGATCAGAAGCAGACCAGCACGTGATATGGTAGAACTTGAAATGGTAGCTTGGTCTCGAAGGTGCTTCGCGCTTCGGCCGCCGTGTCAACATCCCACCGTGCCGCAGCATCCAGCGCGTCCAGCGCACCTAGCGCACCGAGTGCGCCGAGCAATCCCTTCGCACGAAAGCGACCTGGAACGGCCTCCTTCTCAGCTTGACATGTTGCTGAAGAGCCTGCGAACGCTTTTGAGTTGATGAAGGTCGCGGGTGGCCGCCAGCCCGCTACTCCAATGGCTCCTCGGAGAAGCAAGTGAACATGCATTTTCATACATGTTGCTATGAGGCCCGTGTCAAGCATCGTCGGTCCCAGCCTCGCTGCTTGAGGCGAGTGGGGGCAATGCGAGCTCAAAGGTTGCCCGCTTGACGTGAGGGCACGCGTCGATGTGAGAGTTGAAGCTTAACACAAACTTAGCCGTAACTTAGCCCTGCCAGCTTTGCTGGCTTTGGGCATAGTCGATAGTGCATTCATTGTCTTGTTCTTATACTCCACAGCTGCGGCTAGGACTTTTGCAGAAGCTTTAGGTACTTTAGGTGGGTGGATGCACAGCAGATGGCAGCGCCAATGACTGCGTCAGCCATCTGTCCTGGGGGGAATCCTTTGATTCCAGGAGGTGTGGAGGCTTACAGCGGGGAGCTGTGCGAGCTGTGTGCAAAAAGGGTCGTCCAGCAGGCTTGTGCTCGTTGGTAGTCTCTGCAAGTGCAGTGCCCGGCTGTGCGCAACTTTTTTAAACACTCAGTGAACATGTGCCAGTCGACATAGGCCGCGCAAAGCACGCCACAGATACATGACAATATGACCTATGTTGGAAAGGGTTTGCAAGTCAAGACGAAGGATCGGGAAATGCCATGGCACCATCGGGGCAGCCAGTTCTGGCTCCTGGGCTTCGCAGCAAGGGAAGCTCCTGGTATGCACATTGGCAGCCGCTTTTGAACTACAGAGGACACGTAGTCTCCCCCCAAGGCATGTCCTCCCTGAGCTGCATGCGAACCTCCCACTTGCAAGCAGCGCCAGAGACTCAAGCCCACGTGTTTTCTGAGACTCTGCGGCTTGCCTTCGTCTTCCAAGGTCGCTGCGGTTTGGGACGACTCTGACACTCCATCGGCCTGTGCCACGACCCAGTTCAGCAGCCGGGGTAGCGTGCATCATACGCCGTGGTGCAAAGGCTGGGGCCATGTCGGGTGAAGCTGCTCGCGTGCCCTGTATCGTTTGCAGGTTGCCGAAGCAACGGTGTCCGACAGACCATCCGGAATCGCAGTGTCCCAGTCTCAGCCACACGCTGGAGCCAGGCCAGCGGTTCACGCAGTGCATCGCATTGCAGACCCAACGGGAGCGAGACAAAAACCAGAGAGGCGACCGCAGACGGCAGTTCCCACGAAATCCTCCAGGCTTTCCTCGGAGGTGGGTCCCTCATCGCCTTGGGCGCCTGAGAAGTCTTCCTCTTTCTCGTGTGTGAGGGCTTCGCTGCAGCTATGTCTGCTCTGCGAACTGGAGCCGTCGAGATGCCGGGGTCGAGACAGAGCCCTGGCGGCCGAAGCATAGGCAGGGTGGCACCACGGTGGCGTCACGGTGGCACCACGGCGGCACTTGAAACGCTTGAACCTGCGCAGGAAGCCTGGTGGGCCGCGGCCGTGGGGTTGCACACTGCGCGGCTGCTGCGCAAGCCCACAACGAGAGCATGCCGAGTGGGATGCCCCTTCGGAGATCCAGCTCTGCAGGCCCACCTTGCTGTGAGCTGAGCTTCGACTTGGAGCTTGAGATGCGCCTTGAGCCTGGAGGTGCGCTTGGGCGGTGCGACAAAGTGCAGGCAGGAGGAGTTCAACCCGTGGTTCTCCATCGTTCTTGCACGCCGTTTCAGGCGGGTGCTGGTGGAGGCTTCCTGGGGTCAGTCTTGTCAGTTGAAGTCGGACTGACTGTCTCATCCTTCCTTGTGCAACGACCTGCAACAAAGTCTCTGTAATCCTACGTGGTCAATAGAAGTTGACAGGAGCTGTTGCCTCCAGAGAGCCTGTCACGACAGGACTTGCAGAAGCCTTGTCTCCAGTCTGCAGCTGGCAGTGCGCAAGCCGATTCAGACGGCGCAGGAGAGGCCGGCATCTTCGAGGAAATCATGCGTGCGGACTTCAGATTCGGGCCCCGCAGAACGAGCTCGTTGTTTGTGGACTCGATGGGTTGTCCAGGCACCGATCAGTTTTTTGGGCCGATCTTACAAGAGATCAAGGCTCGGCTGCCAACTCTGCGATGGGACGGCGATGCGTGCGGCTGTGCTGTGCCAGGCCAGCTACAAGGCGATCTTGCTCGACAAGAAACCCGCAAAGTCCTCGTGAACCTCATCTCACAAAGACAACCTGCCAATCTCACAGTCCCATCACCGAGGCCCTGGACCTCAAGGCAGGTCGGCGCCGATGGGATTTATTCGCCAGCATCTGTCTCTTCTCGACTTCACGATTCTTGACAGGCCAGTGCCGCAGAGATTGCCGTTGATGCAGTGAGGAGGCCTGCAGAATCGAAGCCGATGCTCGCAGCTGCCTAGCGGCCTAGCAGGGTCAGGTTTGTGTCAGGTTGTTGTCGCCATTGCAGACCGAATCGCGCACCAACCGGTCATCAGCGCACCAAGATGCCCGAAACGCGCACCAAACGGCTCCAGATAGATGACATGTGCAACCATTCTCCTGTCAGCTCTTCGACTCG